TGAAAATAGACTTACATGTAGATTCAGAGAATTTCATTAATACACTTGGCTCTTTCTTCTTCCAGCCACAAATTTTGCAACCGACAAGAATCACTAGCCACTCTGCAACACTTATTGACAATATTTTCTTCAATTCCATAGAACATAATATCATAAGTGGTACATATAGTATATGATCTCACAGATCATTTACCTAATTTTATTATTTTTGACAAGCCTGTGCATCTAAAATCTAGGGGAAATGTTCATAAAAGAAATTATTCTAAACTAAACAAGTCTGCATTGATCGATGAAATTTCATCAATAAATCCCTCCTGAGCTTGATCCATCTGAAATGTTCAGTTGTTTTCACAATAGATTATCTGTAATAGTTGATAGGCATGTACCAATAAGACAACTGTCCAGGAAAGAAATAAAATACAAATCAAAGCCCTGGATAACCCAAGGAATCAAAATATCTATTCATATCAAAAATAAATTACATTGTAAATATTTAAAATCAAAATCCACTTACTGTCACATAAAATTTAAATTGTACAGAAATAAATTAAACATAAACATAAGTAAAAGAATGTACTACAATAACTTCTTTCTTGAAAATAGTGATAACACAAAGAGAATTTGGAAGGGTATTAGACAAATCATTAATTCCATCAAAACATAACGAAAACAAGAGAACTGTATCTAAAATTATTGAAAATGATGTTGAAATCACTGATCCCAAAAAGATAGCTAATGCTTTTAATTGCTACTTTGCTAACATTGGAAATAATCTTGCAAATTCTGTCCCAAATGTAGAAAAATCACATCTTGACTTCATGAAAACCCCAATATATAATAGTTTTTATATTTTTCCTGTCACTTCCACTGAAATTGAAGAAGAAATCTCCAATTTGAATATTTCAAAGGCAACAGTTACTTTCAGCATACCAACCAGGATACTAAAGTTCAAACTGATCATGCTATTCTTAGCATTGTTGATAAAATTCAAAAAGCAGTTGATGAGCATGACTTTTCCTGTGGAATCTTTCTGGATTTTAGTAAAGCCTTTAATACGGTTGACCACAGAATTTTAATTAGCAAATTAGAACGCTATGGTGTAAGAGGAGTGGCTAAAAGCTGGTTCACATCTTAACTTAGTAATCGTAATCAAACTACTGTTGTTAATAATGTTACTTCAAACCCACTGGATATAACATGTGGAGTGCCTCAAGGATCTGTCCTTGGTTCTTTGCTTTTCCTACTCTATATAAATGATTTTCACCTTTGCTCCAATCTCTTTGAATTCCACCTGTTTGCTGATGATGCTAATCTTTTTTATAGACATAGAGACATCAAAACATTATAATCTCATATTAACTCAGAAATTAGTAATGTTCACATTTGGCTCTGTGCCAATAAATTATCACTGAACATAGAAAAATCCAACTTTGTTCTTTTCCATGCACCCCAAAGAAAAATCACACACCATTTCCATCTAACCATTAATAACAATTCTATTAAGCAAACAAATCGCATTAAGTATTTAGGAATTTACATTGACTAAAATCTAAGTTGGAAACCACAAGTAGATATTGCCAAAAAAATCAAACGCAGTATTGGTCTATTATCAAAACTTCGTTACTATGTGAATTCAAGGATTTTGAATAATTTGTATTATGCTTTAATTTACCCTTTCTTAATGTATGGTATAATAGCATGGGGAAATACCTATCAAACTACGTTAAAACCTTTATATTTATTACAAAAGAAAGTTGCGCGTATTATTACATTTTCTTCATTTGATGAGCATTCAAGCCCTATATTTAAACAAATAGAGTTTTTCCGTATCCCTTGAATTTCAAGGGTAAATTTCAAAGGGTGAAATTTTTCATGCAAATTAGGCAAGGAAATTTATTCGCTTTTACCAAAAACAGCATATTCTTTTATTTTTTTTATTTTTTGACGTAGTTGAATATTCTAATAATGATTAAGAGCGACTGTCCACTAATATCGAGCAATGTGCGGCAACAGCAAAAAATCGATTTTCTTTATTTTTGGTCCAGAGTTAGGTATTAGTGAGTAAGTAAACGTGGTGGGTTTTATTTCTTCAAAAAAAATGTTATCGCTGAGAAAAATCGAAAAAACGGTCCGTCC